CTGCCCTGACACACTGTTGGACACATCAGTGCACCGCCTTCCCATCCAGCCATGCTGCACTTTCTCTGGGACAGCATCTCCTTCCCTACACTCCTCATCTTCCTCATTGTCTTCCTGTTTGTCGCTGACTACATGAAGAACAGAAACCCAAAGAATTTCCCTCCCACCCCTTTACGCCTTCCCTTTATAGGGCATCTTTACTTGATGGACTTCAAAGATCCCATAGGTGCAGTGATGAAGGTACACGCGTGGTGGGCACTGTGGCAGAAGGGACAGAGGGAACTGCACCTACAGGGAAGGGATTAAACCAGACACCTTGGGCCAGCAAGGCAGGCAGGAGGTTTGCCCTCACTGGTTTGCCTGGGTACAAGCTGGGGCACAAATGGGAGTGATCCCTGGGGCAGGGCACATGATCCCACAGTTGCTGTCGCAGCTCTAGGAGCCCTGTAGGACTTAGTTTGGGGCTGGGGGGGTGTTTGGTAAGGGAGCACAACAAAAGCTGGAAAAACACAGAACTGAAAACTTAAACCTGGAGAGATTTACTTGACTTATGGCCAATTAACACCAACTCCTGATCAGTGATTCAGGAAAAGAGAAAACACTGTGCAGTCAGGCAGAGCTTTGAGCACAAATTCTGTTTCCTCTCCCACTCTCAGCTTCCCTTAATTTTACCTGTGCCCTATGACAGAATTGCCTGTGTCCCAACAGACACATTCACTTTAAGTGAAACCCCCTATACTTATTTCCCCTCCTAGTACACTAAAAAATACGGTGACATCTTTGGCATGTCCATGGGCAGCATGAAGCTTGTGGTAGTAAACAGGATGAAGCTGCTGAAGGATGTGCTTGTAAACCAAGGGGAGAACTTCCTTGAGCGCCCAGAAATGCCTATGGAGATGTTCAGCAAAATAGGTGAGTGATCCTTCAGGACATGCACCTCAGCTGGAAGGTCCAGGTGTTGGCCCTGCAGAGGTCTGAGACAGCTGGGGAGAAGGCAGAGCCCTGGAGCTTTTCCA